GCACCCTTTCTCCCTCCCCCCCTCATCCTACACTCCCTCTCTCGGATCCCGGCTAATGGCAGCAAATTTACTCGTATAGCCTCATTATCACGCCCATATCCCTTCCCTTTTGCCGCTGCCTCTTCGTCTCTCCTTTGCTTCGCTTCTTCTTTCGGCTGCTGCTTTGAGAGCTCATGTATACATGCGTATGTATGTGTGTATAAATGCTTCTTCGTTCATATCACCCTTTTTTTTTTTTTTTTTTTTTCTTTCTCGCCCAAATACACTCAAAGTGTTGTTTTTTCTTGTTTTTCGCGCCACGATTACGGCTTAATTCATGCGGAGCTGCTGACGATACTTTCGAGGAAAAGGAAAGAGCTAAGGGTCTATAATGCGTTTCTTTCGCTTCTTATTCACTTATATGTATACAGGTTGCACAGGACGTATTACCATCTCATTTCATAATTCTGGCAAATAATAAGAGGAAAGTCAGATGATTTTAACGTGAATATTGACCCAATACAATTACTGTTTAAGTGGCGATGCACTGAGGGACCAATGATGGTAATCAACGTTGGCAGCAACGTGTAACAAAGTGGTACACTAATATTCGCTCGAATATTGGGCCATGTCAGAATTCTCTCTTAAGATCACTTGAAACTAATACGAAATATGACGATTGCGAGAGGAATACGGTAAAAGTGTTGGGCAATAACTACGCGAAGAGAGGGAAAAAAAAAATGATTTGCTCGTGTCCATTTAAACCAATCTGGTACTCATTTTTAACTCGTGACCATTTATATCAGTTGGCTACAGGATAATGACTGCAGTTGATTGGGTGAAAAAGAATAAACGATGGCTATCTCATCGAAAAATTAATTTTCATAAATTAATAATTTCAGTCAGATTTTATTCTCGGTCATTAAGAAATCGGTATTCAATGGAATTAATAAAAATAAAAAATAAAAGTCATTTTCTCGTCACCTCCCGATGACTTCTTGTTTTGTCCAAACGATCCACTTTCACACAAGCACAAAAATCTCCGACGTCTACTCGAAAAACTGTACTTCACGGAGTCCACATGCAAAACCCAACCCGACGAATCAGTGGAACTTCGCGTTACGCAAAGTACTTGGGTACAAACAGTGTCGAGAGAAGAGTCAAAAGGACACGGCGTGTTTTCACAGAACCAAAAAAAAAAAAAAAAAAAAAAAAACGAACCCCCCCCCATCAGCAGCAACAATTAGTTCGGAAGAAAGCACAAGAGCTCCAATCGTCCCGGCGGCGTGCATCTTTCGCGCCAACAAATTCAAAGGCCGGCCCTATCGCTCTCTCGAATCTCTCGTTCCCGCGACTCCCAAGGCGGCGACACATCGCGCACGGAGCTCACGAGCGCGTTTTAATTAACCCAGACGAAAAGGACCGCGCGATGAGCCACGACTACAAGAGCTTTTCCTGATCATCCTCCTTCTCCTCCCCTTTCTCGCTCTCCCAGGCGCGCATCAAAGGCATCATGCCACACCATTAACATGCACACACAACATCGGAATGCACGACTCGCGTGCACCTCTTTTCACATTTTCTTCTCCTTACTATCCGAACCATGTGTATGTGTGTATATATACAACAGCCGTGCCTCCTCCTCCTCCTACTCGTGCGCGCAATTTGTTCCTTTTCGCGTGTACACACGCGGGGCATTGTATCGCACAGACGCGCGGAAACTGCGGGCAAAAGGATCAACGAGCAACACAAGAGGGGCCGCGCTGCGAGCGCAAGGGCGAAAAGAAAAAGAGAGAGAGAGAGAGAGAGAGAGGACAAAAACGATGAGCGCGGATAAGGCTATTGCATTGGCAAGGGGGTATATCGCCGCCCGATCTGCCGCGTATTTCCAAACAATGCGCCAAGCGTGTATATATGTATATGGACCGCATCGAAGGGGGAGTATAAGAGGAGGAGGACGGAGAAAAAAAAGTGGACCGAGCGCGCCTCCCTGCTCGCGAGGAAGATCATACGGGGCGATCATCCCCCTTTTACGAAAAACGGCCCCCCCGGTTTCTCTTTATGAAGAGCAGCGCCGCGCGCAATTAGGACACGCGCTCCGCCGGGCCTTTGTGCGCCAAAGACAAGGATCTGGTGCTTGCCTCGCGCACACGCACACACACTTGCTCGTCTATGAATGAGATCAGTTTGTGGTACATACCTGTACGATATATATATATATATTTATATAATGCACGCGGCAAAGGTATAATGTCGTGTAAGTGCACCAGGTATACCGCGCCAGAGAGAGAGAGAGAGGAGGCTGGAAATCGGTTGGGCGATGCTTGCCGATTGGCCGGAGTTGCGAAGGAGGCTCGGCCAATCGGCGGCGCTCGGATCTTCGAGCTCCGTGTATATACCACCTTTTTCCTCGGCTCTTCTGCTCGCTGCTATACACACGTACTCTAATGCACGTACACGAGTGAGGTAGGTATATACGTGTTCCCTTTCGCCGGTGCGCCGATTTCCGATTCGCCGTATCTCTTTTCGCGCGTCCCCTTTTGCTCGCGTTGCCGCGCTGCTTCGAGGGAAATTTAAGCGCACGCCCGCGCGCGCGTGATTGCAAACACGACCGGCTAACTTATGGGCTTTGGCCTGCGTTTACTGCTACGGGTGTGTATATATTATACACGGGCACCCCGAGATCTCTGGAAACGGGGCTTTACGCGCGAGTTGGATAAAATGGCACCCTCTTGCATTACGAGAAATGCTCGCGTTTTTTTGGTTTGCTGTTCGAGGGGATTTTTTTTTTCTTCAAGTTGTTGCTTTTAGTTATGAATAGAATGGGGTGGAATTCATTCGATGGATTATATATAAGATCGAGTCGCAGAAATGGTAAAACGAAGCGCAAAGGGTTGTCAACATCCTTGACGGACTCTGGCGAGAGGAGGAAGAACTTTCTGGTGAGAATGTTATCACCAACACCAAAGTTAGAGATGATGATTCGACAACAAAACTTTATGAATTGAAAGAAAAATAAAGTTGAAATGTCAGCGAATGATCAGCCGATGGGGGAAAAAAAAACGAAACTGAAGTAGCTTAGTATCACACAACTGGGAAATCGAAGAGAAAAACAATGGTTACGGTGTTTCACTGGTTTCTAAAGGCACGTAATGGGTAGAGTTTAAAGTATAACTATACTTACAGTTTAAGGAGGAAGTATAAGACGAAACGCTGATGCCAAAAGGTGGATACAGAGATATTTGTATCATGCATTTATGATTGTCAGAAACGTACGACATGAGCTAAAATAATATAACGAGTAATGAATGCATAAACTTATGATTTTGATACGCATATTTTATAGATATATATTGACGTGTAAAAGGTTAAAACAGTGCACTAAAGATGAGAAAACAGTGTTTTTATTCAAAATGTGAGGAATTACTTATATATTTTATGTTCAACTGTTATACTATTGAATGTCCTAGAAAATACAAAAAATTCAAAACTGAAGGTACCATTTTATAATTCATTAATACTGTCCTTATGTGAACCAACACAATTAAAAATAATAATCATCCATCACCGCTGTATTTTTTTTTAATAACGTCATAAAATGTTACGCCTGTCCATTATTATACGAGACATGATGGAACCAAACTATACTATATGCTGCGAAAAAATTGGGATAGCAACATTCCTATAATGATAATTTTAAGATACTCCTCATAAGACTCAATAACAACAATCACAACATCAATGGCGGTAGAGTAAGACGCTATTCGCATCAACGTAAGAATGATAAATTGATAAAAAAAAAAAAAAAAGAAAGAAAGTAAAAAAAGAAAAAACCCGTCCTGCAGCATGAAGGTGCCGCAGTCGTATCGCAACGGGGATACACTGTCAGCCGCGCTGCCACCGAGTTACCCGCGTAATAACACACTCCTCTCGAGCCCACCACTAGAGGATTTCGCTCGGGGGGGAGGGAGATCAGTCGGTTCATATTTATGCGTATAAATATATATGTATACGCAAGTGTGCGAGAGCCCGCGCTGATTACAGAGTAGAGTAGGACGCGCGATCTCGTGTCCAGATGGTATATGAGGAAATCCAATCCAAATCGACCATTTTACGTCACAAACCTACCGAATACTTCTTGTTTTGTCCAAACGATCCACTTTCACACAAGCACAAAAATCTCCGACGTCTACTCGAAAAACTGTACTTCACGGAGTCCACATGCAAAACCCAACCCGACGAATCAGTGGAACTTCGCGTTACGCAAAGTACTTGGGTACAAACAGTGTCGAGAGAAGAGTCAAAAGGACACGGCGTGTTTTCACAGAACCAAAAAAAAAAAAAAAAAAAAAAAAAAAAAAAAAAAAAAAAAAANAATGGGGACTTAGATGTATATCTAAGGTAAATCGGGGGTGCTGAACACAATGAACATGGTTACAAATCGATATCTCGATTACTTTTCGAGATATCGATATAACGAGCAACATAATCTAAAAATTACGGGGCGAAAAAAATTTTTTTTTTTTTTGAGGCACACCTTTGAACCAAATTTTTTCTTGCTGTATATACCTCCAGAAACAAGGAAAAAATTGTGTACAAGTACTTTGGGCTTTGTGACACAGTGTTTTTTATGGCTCCGAAGGGTATAATACTTGATATTTCAAAAATACTAAGTGAACATGATACGTGCGACTTGTACTGCGTTTTTAAAGCAGCTTGTCGTTTTTATACTATACCATTTTCAATCCGATGGACCATCGACACAGTACAAAAATAAAATTAATTTCTATCTACTGCATTTTTTCTGTAATAAACTAAATCTAACAAGCGCTACATGGAATTTTACAGCTGCTGGTCATGGCAAAAGTATAGCTGATGCGATTGGAGGTACTGTTAAAGAAATGTGTGATAGACATGTTACTTTTGGCCATGATATTTTATGTGCAAATGATATGGTACAATGCATAAATAATTCTAGCAGCAAAATAAATTCATTTTGTATCGATGAAGAAAAAATTAAAATGATTGATAGTCTTGTTCCCGAAGATTTAAAGCCAGTTCCAGCAACTTCAAAAGTTCATCAAGTTATGTGGTCCAAGTCTAACAGTAAAAGTTTGTCATTCAATTATTTATCGTGCTCTCATTGTAATATAGATACTGGTTGCGAACATTATAAGATTGATAGTGTAGTTACATATGATGCGAAAGAAATTGTAAATAATGATGCTAAAAGTAAGAATATTTCACCGTTTCAATCAACAAAAAATTTCAAAGTTGGAGAGTGGGTAGTAGTAATATACGACCAGTGGTACCCTGGTCAACTTGAAAAAATTAATAAAAATGCATTAATTGTTAGATTTTTAGAGAGAACAAAAAAAAATTTTCGTTGGCCAAAGAATAATGACGTTTACACTGTATTTCCAACACAAGTACTGTGCAAAATTGATGAGCCGATTCGTATATCAAAAAAAAATATATTTAAAATAAGTGAGCGAGATTATAATGAAATAACTGCTATGTCTAATTCATGCACAATTTATAATCCCTAGTAATTTATTATAACTTCAATACTTACTGTTAAGTTATGTGAGTTATTATAAGATAATAAATAATTAATCTAAAACTATATGGTAATATTTATTCAAACTTGAAAAAATTGGTAATTTTTTTTTTTTTATGTTTTAACCGAAAACTTGATAAATTCAAGCGTCTTTTTGTTAATTAAGTCCTGTTTAATCTAGTCAGGTTCCTCAAAAAAAGAAACTTATCGTGGTATAGTATAAAAACGACAAGCTGCTTTAAAAACGCAGTACAAGTCGCACGTATCATGTTCACTTAGTATTTTTGAAATATCAAGTATTATACCCTTCGGAGCCATAAAAAACACTGTGTCACAAAGCCCAAAGTACTTGTACACAATTTTTTCCTTGTTTCTGGAGGTATATACAGCAAGAAAAAATTTGGTTCAAAGGTGTGCCTCAAAAAAAAAAAAAATTTTTTTTCGCCCCGTAATTTTTAGATTATGTTGCTCGTTATATCGATATCTCGAAAAGTAATCGAGATATCGATTTGTAACCATGTTCATTGTGTTCAGCACCCCCGATTTACCTTAGATATACATCTAAGTCCCCATTAGCCCATGTCAAGTAGTCTATACAGTACGCGAGAGTACCTGTGTCCCGGGGAATCATGCACTCTTTTCGAAAATCAATGATTAAAATCTTCAGAGTCGTGAAAAACAATGTCACAAAGCCTGAATTTCTTGCACACTATTTTTCCCTTATTTCTGAGGGTACATAGAACAAGAAAAAATTTATTGCAAAGGTGTGCCTCAAAAAAAATTTTAATTTTTTTTTGTGACGTAAAATGGTCGATTTGGATTGGATTTCCTCATATACGATATTGGTGCAGTGATGATAAACGGCGCGCGGATGGTATCTCAATACGCGACTATGATTACAATAATTTTTCCATCAAGCAGATCCTTAGGTAGGTACATTGCATTGTAATTGAAAATCTTTATTAAAAAAATGCAAGATCGAGCTTCTATTGTTATCGGATCGAGTAGTGCCGATTGGAATTTGCGAATCGCGCAATACACTTCACCTTGTATTACACGTATACACGAACGCCTCGAAGAGACGTCAAAGAGCGCGTGACGTTGCATCGGGAACAATGGGCTTACGTGTCACTGCAGCAACGACAGAGAGGGAGAGAGAGAGAGCACGCGGTGATTTGCTTGACATTTTCTGCCGCGCAACGATCGCTCGTGTGTCAGTAATACATGCATTATAATTCGAGCGGTGCATGATTTCGATAAAAGTATATGAGTAAACGCGCGCTCGCGCATGTATTAAATGTCCGCGGGCTGACAATGAAAAATGCGACTGATCGAATTCTAAGGATACCTGGGCTATTACTCGCTCGCCCTCCTTTTTATCGGAATCGTGTTTTATTATTGATATACGGTGCTCGCACGTGTGTACAAGCGCGAGGAAGGAATGCGAACGGTCTCTCGTCGCTGCTGCGATATAAGTTTTTATTTTCCACGCTCACGCATCGGGGACTCTGCTATTCGAGTGGGCGGTGCTGCTGATACTTTATTTTATTTTTATGTACGTCAAGTGATGACACGGCACTTTTTTTTTTTCATTGATCTATATATTATGTACTCGTACATGGATTTTTTTCGATCAGGAACAGAGTGACACGACCGTTGGTTTTAGTTCTGGTCTATCTTAGGTGTGATCGTTTGAATCGTTGATTTGGGCTGGACGAGGATTTTCAATAATGAATTAGTAAATGTAGACGGTGAAGAAAATAGTACTGAACATTACCAGTAAAATTTGACATCAATTTAACAACGTGAGGGAGCTATATTTTTTTTTTACTAACATAGTTTGCCATGACTTTGTAAAATTGGCCAACATTTATCATTGATTTGGGCTGGACGAGGATTTCCAATGATAAATAAATAACTGGTGGAGAAAATAGGACTGACGATTGACAGTATAATTGGACATCGAAAACCACAACAACGTAGGAAAGCTGTTGTTTTTCCCCTGAAATAGTTTGTCACTCCTTTGTAACATCGGTCAACATTTAACAAACGCGATTTATTGTATTTTGTAACTTGTCAAACGAATCGAGCCAATGATCGAAGAGTCAACATTACCACATCGATAACAACGAAATACCTATCGAGGACCCATACGCACACACGCAAAAAAAAAAAAAAAAAAAAGGACAACGACATCGAAAAAACAAACAGCCCGAAACCATGCGGTACACCTCCCCCGTTTTATCCCGTTCGATCTTTCGTAGTTACGCGAGACCCCGACAAATTGCCGCCAATTAAAATTCCCCGTCGCCCCGGCCGGTTCCAGGCTGCCGTTGCCGACTCCTGTCTTTCCTTCCTTCCTTCCTTCCCTTTTTTTTTGTTTTGTTTTACCTGCTAGCTGACCTCGGAACATCCGTACGCACACAACGCAGCCGGCAGGACCCTTCCATTCTCTTCCTCTCGCCAATTAAGTTGTACCCACGCGCGCGACAGAGAAGGAGAGAGACCCTCTCCCGTGTTTCATCTGCTGCTTCCCCCGATCGCGCGCGCGCGCGCCCATACCGAATTAATTCAAAAGAGATCCTCGCAGCTATACGCACGGCTCCTTCTTCCCCGCATCTGGGCCTGATTCCAAAACGGCCTAACGAGCTGATGGCTGCACGCGGTTTCTTCCTCCCTCCACCCTGGGTTTTCTACTGTTACCTCGTCCCGGCGCGCTGGACGTCCCGTTCGACGAATCTGGAATCGATCATTTTGGCTCGTTTCTCTTTGCCGATCTATACGATACTAATCGATTGCTTCGTGCTTTCATCACTCGAGTGCAAGATTATTGGTGGGTGACGCTCTACATGTATGCTCCAAATGTTTTGAATATACGTGACAGCGGAAATTGTAAGTTAAACTGTGCTCAAAACACAACAGTCTCCCCAGTAAACACAGACTTTTAAAGACCATCTTGTGGATACGTCGAAAATATGTTGTACCATCAGATTATCTTTAGACGAACATTAAAAGTCTGTGTTCCCTGGGTCACCTGAAGCAGATTTTTTTGAGCTTGAATCGAGTCTGATGCGATAAACTACTCTTGCAGATATGATTAACCGGTACTTAATGGATGGCACTAACATAAAATGTTACTATATTCCTAAAAACACAAATATCGATCCTTGAGTCAGTTCCATAATAAATGTACTTCTTTTGATTTTACTCACACGAAACTACAATGACAGACATATTCCATGCCATGGATCGTACATGTCTAAGTCAATACGGTTTTGCAACCATTTTCCAACATACTAGACAGCTATGATTTTTCCGCACAATGATACCATGATCCACTCGAATACCCTTTCTTCCACGTATTACTAACGTATTCCAAGGATGTGACTAAAAATTTGACTGTACAGTCTTAACTACAAAAGCTTTAAGGATGTAAAAGCACATTTTCAAACTCGCCATCAGAGAATATACATTCCAGTTGTTCAAACACTTCATCTTATACACAAATCAACAAATTAATGGCGAAAATGTTTTAAGTGATATCACAAAGCTTGCGTATCCTTGAACGTTTAAATGCAGCCATATAATAACATCGCCAAGACTACTCCGGACCCTAGGTCATTATCGTAACAAAACCAATGTATACGACTGCCACCTGAGATGTTATATTTAATATACGTGCAACCAAGTGCCAATACGTACACGACTGATCGTTTTAACTCGCATACATTATTATAATAGGTTTGCAATCGCTTGCAATAATTCAACATCGTTGAGCCGTGATGTAGATGTAAGGCAAGTATATTACAATCATATAACCACATATTAAATGTATAGCAGCGCGCAAATGGATGGCGGTCTGGAATTCCATATACATACATACTCCACTAACCACTTGTCACGTATATGTTCACTCGATGACGACTGCAAACGTGCATTACCTCATATATTTCATACCAAGTCTTAAGTTTATCTAGCGGCATATCGATAAACACGAAATGCTGTTATTATATTACCGCCGTTAAGTGGTCGATCGGAATGATTGATCGACCTGTTTGTTTACACTCGGGATCTTACGGTGCTCTGGTCGAGTTATCGGGTATAAATTGATTGCGTCGTTCTAATGGATTCTCGTTTCGCGGGGAATCCAACTACGCCATATACTCCACGACCACTTCTGCGTGGGATCAATATCCAAGATCGAAGTAAAAATAGACAGGCATCGGGGGAAAGGGGCACACAATATGCTATGGAAGGTAAAATCCGGGGAGAGGCGTTGGTTTTAATCATCGCGGGAGCCATGGCATTAACTTCATAAGTACAGGGAATGGTCCTTACCTCCCGATCCCTTTAAAGTAGGGCACTGCGCCACTCGAATATGGACGCGTATATGTGTATATACAGTACAGGAGATACAGATATGGAGAGGGGCCGACGGTATACCGTCCAAGTGTCTGTCTCTAGACAGAGGAACGGAAAACCGGAGGGATTGGCCGGAGGTGGCGGTACATATACATACACCCAGTTGTAGGTGGCAGAGGATCGGGCTTAT